ATTTCGGAGTTTTTTCGTCTCTCTCTTCTTGAGTTATAACAAGTTATTCGTGCTCACAGCTGTTCCACTCCCTCCGCTCCTAGTTGGGAGCATTTTTTTCTGAGTAGAGTCACCAGCCGTCCTAAGTTACCTACCTTTGGATCAGTTACATCGATTAATCGCGGCTACCGGAGGACCTCAGCTGAACCAAAGCTGGGGTGGGTTATGGTATGTCTCTTTGCCAATTTCCTCCGAAAGTGGCTTGTTCTGGTCCGCAAAGCCATTATCCATTAACGATAGACCAAACCCAGATTCCGCAGTGCTCGCAGGTCTGCTATATTTACCCCCACCCCTAAGCCTTTCATTTTTTCATCCGTTTATCTGCCCGCTTACAGTGAAATCGTCAAGTCAAACAATGGCCGGCATGCACTTGGCTCGCCACAGGTAACAGAGAAAGCAGATGGTGACGTTTGGTCCAAACGGTTAGGCTTAGGAGGGTGGGTCGTGAAGAAGTGGGAAGGAAGAAATGGGTTCGAATTAAGGGGTCGTTAAGGTCCAGGGTAATTATAACGATGCAAATATGGGACCTAAAAGAAACTGTACTGAAGGTGATGAGCTCATCCAGTGGCCGAAGCCACTAGCCACCCTGGCTCGGAACTGGTTCTAAGCGTTATACCCTGTGCCGGGTTTTTTGTGTAGATGGCTTGTGAGTGCCTACGTACAATGTACTGCGACTACTTGGCTATGATTATTGAGTATTCTTCCTCCTCCAAACAGCATTATCAACCTATCCCACCATTTTGCTCTTTGTTCCACCACTCATCTGTTTGTATCCTTCCAGTCTGACCCACGCTGGACTTTCTCGGCTATCCTGCAGGGTCACCCGTCGCGTTCGCACTTTTCCAAGAATTTTGCGACCCTTTCCTCTTAGTGGGATGTCGATGCGACCCCCCACCATCACCGTCAGTCCTAGGAGGCTCCTCCAACGACCCCTCCCCCTCCTACCCAATCACCGCCCTCACCACCATGGCCGTTTCTCCATGGCCGTTTCTACAGTATTCGAATCTGAGACACACCCATCTCTACCCACTTTGTCCTCCAAAATGGCCCTCGAGTGGGAGGGGGAGAGGGCAAAGCGGTATTTTTAAGCGGCAACTACACCAATTTTGTCAGCTTGAACCTATTCTGGTGGAACTTTCGCCGAACTTCTCGAAACACCTGTCAAATCCCGTCTAGCACAATCCAATTCCTACAACCTTTTCCCAGAGGTGCCTGAACTTGCTCATTCGCAAAATGAGATCCTCCTTCCCAAATGCGACTCCCTTATTCGAACAGTGCGAACAGACGTTTGATCCTGCTCTCTTGCTGATTTTCGTTCTTCCACGCTCTCATTTGCCATCTTCCATCTCCTTCAGTGGTCCCAAGTAAAGCCTACTTCTTGCGCTTCAGCCGCCAACGTCATGAATCACTCTAATAGTAGTGTGGATGATGCTAATTTTAGAGGCAAACGATCCCAGTACTATTCGACGTGCGTAGCGTGCAAATATTCGCAACGATCGCACATACAGTCAGCACAGATACTGGTTCGTCGTCACGAATCACCGACAGAAACTCTTTCGTTTTGTCCTGAAGCAAGCGCCTTTATGAAGAACACTTTCGGCTGATTTATTCCTATAAAATGATATATGTTATACATCGAATCGCTCTTAAAGCCATGGTGTCAATTTGACTTAGGTTGCTATTTTTAAAAGAAAGAGTGAAATGAAGACGTGGAAGCCATGTATGCTGCAGTTGATTCGAACGGCAGCGGTCGCAGCGACCAAGCGAGGGCATAAATTCCTTTTCACGCACTTTCAAGTCGTAGCAGTAACAGCACCCCTGTGATCAGGGGTCGTGCTTTCTAACCCAAGAAGAGAATTACTTCCTCAAGAAACAGGCATTCTTCGAGGTCTAATCTCGACCGACCTTTAAAGTGCGGCAGCAGAGTAGCATTGAATAAATTCTGAATGCTAGTGCGCCAAAGCACCGACTAGACGAGTGAAGGGATTTGTACTACTAAGGTTAGTGTAGGCGTGTCTCATCGATGCTGATCTCGTCGAGGCCAACGCCATCTCTCTGCTAGGCGGCTAGAGCCAGACAGCAAGGGAGTGGGCGGGCAGTGGCTATAGCGGTTTGGGGAGGGCCGGATAGGTTGTTGAAGGCATATCTCTCGCTGCATTATTGCATGCCGGTCCGCGCCCTTAGGGGTCCACCTGTGTTTCCTCTACGTAGGTTTCCCCTCCCTCGACCTCCGACCTTATCGTGGAATCCTCCTTCAATACCGAGAGTCTGGTCTTTTCCTGGAAGGATCGACTAGCAGTTTTTTCGGCTGTTCTTGCTGTTCTTCAATGGACCCTTTTCACTAATTTAAAAGCCTTTCGAATTTCGCACAAGTATTCCTTTACCGTACGAGTCTTCTGGGAACACTCTTATTTCTTATTTCTGCTTGGTGTTTCGCAGCGCTTTTTATCGATTTGATTGATTGATTCGCAGCCGAACTTACAACATGCGAGTACTGAAAACAATAGGACACAGTAGGTCATAGAAGAAAGTGCTCGCCTGGATGAGAGATGTCGACAAGGCGCGAAGTGTGATTATATCAATAGAGACGCACACACAAGCATGACGGCATTTCTAAGGCGGGCATCATGAATGGGGCGGGATTGTGGGAGATGTAAGCCTTTTTCAGACCCTTCGATTTTATAGAAACGTCACAACCTGCGTGTAGGCCCAGTCCACTTGGGAAGAGAAGAGGATTATAGCACTTAGGTTGTCGTAGACTGTGCCTTTAAGTAAGCGAAGGGGATTGTAGCACTTAGGTTGTCGTAGACTGTGCCTTTAAGTAAGTGTAATGGAGTGTATATTCACATGCGAAGAGTGTGGTCTTCCACCAGAAGGGTCGTCTAGCAGATGATTTAGCGCATTACCCTCCTGCGGACCCTTTTTACTCGTTCGAGCCTCTCACAACTAATGGTTCACCGTGTGAATCTCTCAGAGCTCTCTTATTTCCCATCTCGTGCTTGGTGTATCTCAGCGCTCATTTTTTAACGGTGGTAGATTTCGATTGATTCGTTTTTATTCTTGGTATTTCTGTTCGGGCGGGGGACGTTTTTCGACCCGATTTCTCATGGTATACAGTATTTCGCCGTATTCATGGCTCATGCATATTTCATGTTTTAGTCAGGCGATGTTGACACCACTGCTGCTGTAATTCAGTGTCACCTTATGTTGTTCATGTCGGCTTCCCATTCCTTGGCACGGAAAGGTTCACTTTCGAACGCCTTCTGGACTGTTGTGGTGAAAAATTTACCTCAGTCATTGCATTTTGCCGAATCAGTCCAGCTGACTGGGCAGGTGTAGCTCGAACGTGACGACAAGGAGCTCCCCTCGTGTTTCTTCATTTTTGTCCTTTTATTGCCACCGTTGATTGATTGCTGCTACCGCCACACCTACTTTGGCATTCCGATCGTATTTTCTGACAATAATCGGCTGAAAAAATGCCGAGGCGTCGTTTCGCAATCGTTCTCCCACGATTCTTCATTTCATCTATCCTTGAAACCCCCCTCTACGGACCATTTTCGGGGTACAGGCAGGAGATGAAGCTGTGGTGGCGCCGTATTCTCGAGAAGGGGGCCTACTTAACCGTAGCATTTGGGTCCAAAATATGTAAATAACGCCGCTTTCGACGTCGGTTGCTCGTGCACCCCGCAATTTCAAAAACAGCTGTATTGACCGGATGGGTCAAGTTTTAACGCTCTCTTCCGTCATAGGAGAGAACGTCTGATACTGTCTTCGTTTCATTGCATCAGGACGGTTATTTTTTAGAAAAAAGGGACTTTTAGTTAACACTTTACAGGAGCATTGGGGTAACATGAGGTAATGGTCTCACGATAGAAGACGGCGCCGTATGACACGGTGAAGGTGGTCCGAGGGAAGCTGTAAATAGTAGTGCACTTGCAGAACGCCACATGTCCCTGGAGGTGTCCTCATCAGGTTCAGCTCCTCTCAATTCAAGTCATAAGCTTATTGCCACACCACCTTACCCTCTGATCAATTGTCTGACCAGGTTGGTTCAGCCTAGCTCGGAAAGGTGATCGGACCAGATGCTCTCTATTAGTTCATGAAGTAGTGGCAAGTGGCACGCTTACCACGCGAGCGGTCCGGGGATCAAATCCTGGGTCGTGAGTCGCCCGGGCCAACCAAGCCTTCCATCCCTCCGGGGTCGGTTAATTGGTACCAGACTTGTCTGGGAGGATAAAAACACTGACTTGTACATCGGCTGGCCCCCGCAAGTCATTGTATAGGCCACATCGCATTCAAATGCCACTACGAATGTACAAATGGAAGTAGAATGCGTGCCGCATCCCAAAAAGGGATTGATCAACGGCAAATGCCTTATCCTTTATTAGCGCGAGAACGGCCATAGACGACACGTGGCATTCTCGGTGGATTCGGTGGTTCGTAGGCGTGGACCTCCTGACGCGATAGAAGTTTATTGGGCGTATATGTAGAAGCAGAGCACAAGAAGAAACCGACTGAATCTCAGAGCGATCCACCGTCCTTATATACGATGGATTATGGGCGGGACAATAGCTATGATTACATTCTACAGTACAGATCAGCTAACAGATAACGTTAAGCTCAGCTTACAAGATGAGTCATCCAGAATCTACCAATACAATATGTATATGAAATACATATGAAATAATCACAACCACCAATCAACCATGCTTAAGTCATACGAAAACTAAATGTTATCATAGAGAGTATTCTCTATACTCCCGGCCGAGACGAGTAGGTTCGACCACTGTTGTACGAGGCATTTCACTTGGGCCGTCTGTGCTGGTGGTCCGTCGATCTTGTCGAACTGCGTCGTTTCTCCTGTCCTCGGCGTGCGTCCTGGTCTCTCCCGGTGCTGCGAGAATCACAACTTCTTCTGGCTTCTTCGGAATGCTCACGTGTTCTCGAGTGACTGAGGCTGCGCAGGGCCTCTTCCCTCTCAAGTCGGCGCTCCAAGTCCCTCATCTCTCGCTCGACCCGATCCTCCCTTGCTTGAAGGCGTGATCTCCTTTGTTTTAGATCATCGATCGTCCTTGTTGAGCCGCTCCTTCCTTTGCATTCCCGCCGTTCTCTTTCGATTGACTGGTTCACTTCAAGCATCGCATCCCTGACCTCTTTGAGCTCTCGTTCAGTCTCACCCATCTGTCGCAGAACCCTCTTCATCTCGGAGGAGGGCTCCCTCGCGGCATTTGGTTGCGAGTCCACATCGACAACATTTTGGGAATTCAGCTCCTTGAGACTTGCCTTCAGTTCGTCCATGTCTCTTTGAAGCTGCGGGAGGTTCAGTGCGTCTACTTTAGCTTGCAGTCCTTGAATCTCTATCTGAAGCTCTCTCCATCGAGTTTGCTCCACCGACGACTGTTCCTTCAATGCAGAAGCAGTAGCGGTTCCCTTCATCATTTGCTCTACTCGATCAAGGCGATTCGTGATCGTGTCCACCTTCAGCATCAGCGTGTCGATTTTAGCTTCGATTGATTTTTGTGCAGTTTCGCTCCGTACGTGATGAGTCTGCAGCAACTGTTCGAAACGCTTAAGGTACTGCATGCTTTCTTCTGATGAAGTGACGGTAACGGCAGGAGCTAGCTGGTCGACTTTGCATGCGGCTAAACGCAAAATCCGACTTCCTTGTTGAAGAAGTTCCTTCAGCATTGTTCCAGAAGCGCGACCCTTCTTAGGAGGAAGACCTCTTTCGTCCGATGACGACGATGATGAAGACGAGGACGACGACGACGTGTTCCTTTTGCGCTTGGAGCGTGGAGGTGGGTTCGACCCCAGCCGTCGCCGCTGGCTTCGCTGCGGGAGGTGGCCGTTTCGGCGGTACTCTCGGTTTGGATTGCGGTGTTGCTCCCGGTACAGATGGTGCAGTGGCAGTGGTATTCGTCTCAGCAGTGGTAGATGGCGTCTTCTTTGGCTTGTCCATGGCTAAATATGCGAAACTAAAGTAAGAAACGGAAATTGGTAGATAACTCCATGCGACAGGTAAAATCTCCGCGTAGATGTAGATGAGATCTCAAAGGAGTTTATCCAGTCCTTTGTTAGGTTTCCGAAACCTCATGAATGCCATTTTCCATGCAGATCTTATCAGCAAGGAGTATTTGAATACAAATAACCGTAGCCTGAAGTCTTCGTATAGCAATTGCTTTATTGTCTGGGAGTGCTCTGGCATTGCCTTTCCAAGGAAGCCTGACATAGTAGCCATCCTGTCTTTTCTCGATAGTCTGCTCAAACGTCTTCCAGACTTGCCTGTCCAAGTTCTTGCGTTCTTCGACATTTGGCCCAATAAATTCATGAACCCCTGTCGACTCAAATGTGCAGAACTGTTTCCCAAGTCCTGTTCGTCTTCAATGGAACCTGTCGTGCTCGTTTTGACTCCTGCGTCGGAGTGTGGCTGTTCCACAGGATGCGTTTCTGGAGGTGTTTCATATCCAGACACGAGATATCCTAGTTTCGAAGGAATGAGTGTCAGTCCCGAAGGCAGCGTCTTCTGGTTCGCGAAGCCTCCTTCAAGAAATGCGTACAGGTCCGCACATCCCAGTAGCACTTGAGGTTTGAGTTCCATGATATCCGCATGTATAGAAAGGCAGATATTGTTGTCACGCAGAAATCGTCTGTCCTCTTCGCTGAGGCTGCGTCTTAGTATTGGCTCTGTGACAGTCCCTATTTTCGTAACCGTTATTCTGTGAGATTTCCCGTAGGAATCCCACATTTGCACCTGGGTTATTCCGCATGTTTGCTGCAGAGGCTGCTTAGAGCCGAATGTGTTGATAGTCAACTTGGTTGAACTGATATCTCGCAACTGCAAGCGATCCGCCAGCTCAGTACAGATGAATGAGCGATCGGCCCCAGTGTCGAGCAGTACATGAATAGCTTCCAGAGCTTGATCCTTTGGGTTCAGGACGTGCGCTTGTCCCACGAGAATGTGGACGTCAGCTATGCTTCGCTGAAGGTTGACGAAGGCAGCTGTGGTTGGCACCTCATCGGATGGTTGGGGCTCTGATACCACAGTGTTCATTTTGGATGAATTCAGTGATTTCTGAACAGGCCGCTTGGGAGTGGCTCTATTCGATGTCTGGTGCGGCTTTTTGGATTCGTGAGCTGCAGATGGTTTCTTCGTCGCAGAAGGGAGTTGTTGGCAAAGGGAGGTGTGATGGCCGTGGTTGTTACATATTCTGCATGCTCCTCCTTTGCATTGCCCTGCCCAATGTTCTGCAGAGCCACAGTTGAGACACAGGTTTCGTTTCCGCATAAAGGACATTCTTTCTTCTCGTGTAGCCACTTCGGTGCAGTCCTTTGCTGCATGATCGCCTTTACCGCAGTAGAAGCAGGAGTGTTGACGTTCCGAAGCTGAGGCGATTTTCCGCCCTGTCCGGGGATACCTCCTGTCTCCTGCTGGCTCTTGTACCGGCTGCTGCTCTCGCCTTTTCCCAACTCGGGTTACGATCTTGAGTTCCGTCCGGATATATTCTTTCGCACAGCTGAGAAGCATATTGGTGTCCCAGTTGTCGTTTGGTGACCGCTGTTCCTTAGTTCGTAACACGTGACGTTGTATTCCTTCTGTAAACTTTCCTAGGAGTTGATCTTGCAAAAAACAATTGTCAACGTTCTCTCCTTTTAGTTGAAGCTGCGATACGATCGACGACAACTCCTCCAAGAGTTTCTCTTGGTGTTCCAACCGTTCGCTTTGTGCTCGCGCTTTTTGTAGTCTGCGTATCATGTGGTCTACAAGAGCCTGTGTATTTCCGTATTTTTCCTTCAAATGGGCGACGACTAATGGATAGGTGCGACCAGACACCTCGAACTGCTTGACGGTTTCTTTAGCCTCGCCTTGAAGTGCGTCAAGGAGGTAATTCATCTTGTACAAATCGTCTATTTCTCGAGAATCCACAGAGTGCTGGAAAGCTCCCCAGAAGGTGTCCCATTCCCAGATGCGTCCGCTGAACTTGGGAATAGGAATCGGCGCCAAATTTGTCTGAGGGGCTTCTGAGAAGCTTGTGTGAGTTTCCATTTCATCGAGCTCCTCTAGGCGGCGCTTCAGGGCGGTCAGCATTGTATGTCCATAATCCAGAACAGCTACGGCCGTTTCGACGTTGGAATTGACCTTTCTGAGGATGTCCTCCAACGACGGAGTATCAGCTGCCAAACTGTCAGCCGCACTACTGTAGCGTCCCAACGCGTCGTCAACACTGAGCGTTTCCGCTTCCAGAATGGCCTTCACCGTTCGGATCTGCGCCCGCTCCGTCCTCATATAGATCCTTCGCTCGTGCTCGTCCGATGGAGGTTGTAGAATTGCTTGTGCCCAATCCTTGTTAGCCTCCAATGCACTATTGAGCCTATTCAGCGCTTTTGTTAGTAGTCCCTGCCTAGTGGACAGTGTAGTAGCCATGTTAGTCGTATAAGTGCCTCACTTCACTCCGTTAGTGATGCGTATCTACTCGTTGTAGTTGCAGGACGTACGCGGACTATCAGCATGCACGGACAAGACTGTGTGCGAGAGATCGTGTCTGTACTCACTTCCTTTGTTTCTCGCACTCGTCCGATAGAAGCGCGTTCCAGTGGGTTTGTTCCTCAACCACTCCTTGACCGATCCTCTGCTGCGATTCCTTGATCGATCCTCGGCTTCGTTCGCTTAGGTCCGATGCACCATATATCGGTGGTTCGTAGGCGTGGACCTCCTGACGCGATAGAAGTTTATTGGGCGTATATGTAGAAGCAGAGCACAAGAAGAAACCGACTGAATCTCAGAGCGATCCACCGTCCTTATATACGATGGATTATGGGCGGGACAATAGCTATGATTACATTCTACAGTACAGATCAGCTAACAGATAACGTTAAGCTCAGCTTACAAGATGAGTCATCCAGAATCTACCAATACAATATGTATATGAAATACATATGAAATAATCACAACCACCAATCAACCATGCTTAAGTCATACAAATACTAAATGTTATCATAGAGAGTATTCTCTAAGGTGGTGTTGGTGTTATTACGTTTAGGCAGGTGTCAGACTTTGCGATTGGTCGCTAACGAGTCGCGCGATTCTTTCGATTCGAGCAGTACAAGCGGTATGCCAGTTATCCCAATGATGCTCCAGCGATGTTCCAGCGATCATCGCTGGCGCATCACTAGTAAGGACGAGTCTCTAGCGATTCCTCGCAGTTTGACATCTGCTTTGGGGCGGTTTTGACGGTAAGGGTACGGATACGCAGCACCACGTCTCTTGAGAGCCCACACGCTTCTTCTCTCGAAATCGAGAATCGAAATGTGAAATCGACTCGCCTCTTGTCAGTGCTCCTAGACCATGCCTTTTAAAGAAGGTCCGATTATCTGCCTTCTACTGCTTCTGGTATGACGCAGTGTTCACGGCTCGTGCTCTCCATCCAAGTACATCGCCGTGACATACACTCTGAAGACTTTGTAGGAAACGAAGAGGGAGGGAGGAGAGGGAAAGGCACGTCACACCACGTTAACTCCAGTGGTTCTAGAGATCACTAACGCTTTTATGACATCCAGATCACCAGTGAAGTTTTTCTGACGGAAGATCCAGCTCCAATACATGAATCCATTCGCTGTTCACATTGGCCTCGGCGGGGGTCATTAATTCAGTGTTTGCTAGACGGACGTGTTAATATTCCACGGCTTTCACTGGCTGAAATAGTTTTCAACACATGGGGACATAAGCAGTTTTCCGACCGGTTCTGCAATCTATATTTCAATGCCGGTGTGGTATTCGATATGATAATAGATCTCCATTTTGCCATGGGTCTTCTCTTTGTGCCCATGCGTTTATTTTATCTTGTATGATTAGTTATTTTTTTTACAAAGATGCCCCCTCCAAATAAAATGAATTCTCAGCCTCCATCGTAAAGTTGAACTGGCGTGGCTTAGTACAGGCATGCAAACGAAAAGTAAAACTTCCTCGGGTTGAGCAGATTGTTTTTGGTATACGACGGCATTCGTTTTTTCCATCAAGATTGTAGACACATACTTCCCCGTCTAAGTCATTTTCGATAGATTGCAACATTTCATAACTTTGCATATCGTAGAAGGATATGGACCGCTGGGTAGGGCTATATGAAATAATAGGGACCTGAATTGGAATAATCGAGTTGTAGAAAAGCGAAGGGTATTTCGCTTCCCGGCTGAGATTCGAACCTATGCGAGGGTATATCTGCATTTGTTTGGCGCTGAGTAAGCTCGCTCGGCTGATGTCAGTACTTTTGCGAATCCTGGGAGCTATTCGCTTTAGCTGGGCGGCGGTGCGTTGCGCATCGTTGACCGCGACGCGACCGCGGACGCTAGCGAATCGTTCGATTCGCAAAGTCTGACATCGGCCTTAGGCTGTGTGAATTGAGTTTCTGCTGCACAGAGCACTTTTTAAAATCTATTCGTAGATTAATCAGTAGTTGCGTTCAATCAATAGTTGCGATATTGGTAATCGATAACGTGGTGAAAATCGGGTTAAGACTCGGTTTAAGAAATGGTCGTTTTTTTTCGCAGAAGCAATCAATATTTGAAATCTTCAGTTGTTCCGTTTATTGTTTTCCAAGCGGGCTCAGCACAGATGAGAAGCATTTCTTTATGCTTTATTTTATTACTTCCTTTTTCTTGCAGTAATTCCGCTATCACCAGGTGGCCCCAGTTGGAGAGCGATTTCCAGCAGATGGCGTCGTTTTCATCCTCATTGACCCGTGGCGAAATCGCGTTGGAATTCGACTAATTACGGCTTTAGCATCGTGCTAATCACACGTGTTCTATCTCCGCATTGATCGCGCTGGCTGGTTTCCAAGGTAGCCTAGCCGTCGTGGGGAAATCCTCAAAGATCCCCTTCTTATAGTAGCAGTCCCTCCCCTCCCCCGTACTCTCCGTGGTGATTTCTGATTTACCGTCAGAGTTACAATAACATATTGACAACCTTTATGGTAATACACTCCCCTGGCGCGATTCAGTTTTCAGTCTTCTTTTTTCTGGTCGCATTGCTGTGGAACTCGCATTGACTCTCCTGTTCCTGCTCCAACACCGAATCGCTTTCAATTTAATATTTACATATTGAATTTTTGCAATTTGGAAAAATGGCGGCAGGGGACAAT